CCAACTACTACTACCTATGTTTAAAAACTCACTTTAATTCTTTCTCCGTTTGTTGTACTTGTCTAGTTAACATTCCGTGTTCCCTCTTCTTGGCTTTAACTACATCTTCCTGATGAGAAAGTGACTCTTTTGTGACACCCAACTCCCAATTCGCGTGCTCTAACTCAATGCTCAGAAAACGAATCTTTCTCTCATTATGATATAGTTGGAAGAGCTGCAGCTGTATCTTGTTCATTTCCAGTTCTTCAAGAAGACTCTGGTAGCGTTCTGCCTATAAAACAGTATAATTCAACAGTAGTTAAGAAAGTAAACATCTGTTTAAAAACTTTTTATTGTAAGTGGAATGAAGGTTTACAGAGCAGATCATTGATTTTGCGTTCAGTTCACACATCTCAATCCTCTCAACATAACATCATTTCCCCCATTGCCTCCCTGTGGTTCCTGTTTCTACTCCTGCTTTCCCGGCCCGTCCAGATTTTGTCCTTGAGTCAACGCTGCCCTTTTGATCTCAGCTGGTTTGATGATTCTAAAGTGGGTGTACCTCACTAATGTTACAGTACCCCTTATGCTGCTGATGTGCCATTGAGTTGGTTCTGACCCTAGTAAGCCTGTATAGGGTTTCCAAGAAGTGGTTGGTGTGCTTGAGCCGCCAACCTTAAGGATCAAACTGACTTACAGTCCAGCACATTAACCCACAGTGCCACTTCAGGACTTCATACAGGTAGTCAGGGACTACCTGACCCTGAATAAGGTTTCCAAGGCTCTCTTGTTAATGGGAGTAGAAAGTCTCATCTTTCTCCCTCGGAACGGCTGGTAGGTTCAAATTGCTGACCCTGAGGTGATCAACCCGATTCGTAAACACTACGCTACCAGAGCTCCTTACAGATCTAATTTCTTGGCTGAAAATGGCGTCCATAAGTCTAGTGACTCATACTCTCAAGGTTTTTGATTTTTGCCCCCTCTATGCAGCGCTATGGACCCCTGGTGTGGTGCTGTGGACTAATGCGCTGGACTGCAAATTTGGTTTGAACCGCAAGGTTGGCGGTGCAAGCTCACCAGCTGCTCCTTGGAAACCCTATACAGGATTGCTATGGGTTGGAAACAACTCGACAGTATTTACCACCACCAACAACAAACATGGCGCTATGAAGTCCTGGGTTATGTGGCGTTATGAAGTGAGTTAATTAGGTGAACTGCAAAGTCGATCTGAATTGCAAGGTCAGAGGTTCAAGTTCACCAGCCACTCCTCAGAAACCCTATACAGGGTTGCAGTGGGTCAGAACTGACTGAACGGCACTTAACAACAACACGTTAACAAGGGAGTCCTGGTGTGGCGCTGCGGGTTAATGTGCTAGACTGCAAGGTTGGTTTGAACAGCAATGTCAGTGGTTCAAGCTTACCAGCCACTCCTTGGGGACCCTATAAAGGGTCTCTGTGAGTCAGAACCAACTCGAGGGTACTTAACATTTAAACTGACCTTTCACAAATGCAACTATTATCTCAACCAACGGTACTGAATGAAACACTTCTAAAAGACATTGGTAAGGAAAAGACTGTGCTCATGTACTCGGCAGTCTGTTGCCATGACACTGTTACCCCTGATCCTGGCCCCATTCTTCTTACGATCGGTGAGTTTGGTAAGTCTATTAACATTTCTGGCATCACTTTCCTCACTTGTAAGCTGAGGAACATCATCTGACTTGGAAGGCCTCTAGCAGCTTTAAAATTCCATGATTCCAGGTAAAATTCCTGCTACAGGATGTATCTTTCTGCTAATAGAATTATTTAAGTTCTTTGTTATGTATGAGAAGGAAGAATTTCCTAGTTGCGTTATTAAAGGGACAGGCTACCTTGAGATAGCCTCTCCTCATCAGTAATGTGTTCCAAGTCACAGCAAGCAGTCAGATGCCAGGAGGCAGTAAAAATGCTTTAGGAAGGTGGACTGTTCTAGCTCTCCTTGTACTGTTTGTTGTTGTTAT